CTTCCATGTGGCTGTAACCAGTATTTTGGTTTGCATTTGCATTTTGTTTTTGCTTATTGAACGGGAGTAACTGCCTGCTGTGTGGCCATGGTTCAACAGCTCCCCGAGCGCGTGAGCAGGGTAGAAGCCATCCATCACTTCCAGGAACCCTCGGCGTCCTGGCCAGCTCTGCAAGCCCAGCCATGACGCGCTGTTGCCGTTGCTGTCGGCCTCCGTGACAAGCTGACCTTTTGTATGAATAGGTCGTCCTCCTGCCGAGAGGCACCGTGGTACCTTCTGGGGCTCCTGCTCTTTGGAAAGCCACATCTATTACCTTCTGGGTAGGATCCTACGCATGCGATTAAATATCACTGCTCTTCGGCTGCAGATTCCAGAGCGCCCTGAACAAGCGTGCTGCTCTCCACAGCGCGGAGACTAACAACTACTTCGTGGAAGAAAGTTGTATCACATAGGTTACATATTACTGACCCCATTTAAATAACTGTTCTTTTTCTAAAGGGGCAACAAATACAAACACAGAATGGAAAGACCTGTCTTAAAGTTGGACAGCAGCACCACTGGATTAAAAAAGAGGAGCAAATGGCACAATAAAGCCATTCATCTTAGTCAGTTTAAAAGCTGTACTGCTCCTGTCAAGCATGGATTCCACAAAAGATTTCATGGTCAATTAGGTAAATACAGGTATAAAATGGACTAGTGCTGAAGATCACCAAGCTAATTACTGATAACGTTTAATTTCTCTTCCCTAAGTCCCCAAAGTGATATTTTTCCTCATAGGTTTAAAATACCCAAAGAAAATAGAGAAATGTCTTCCCACACCACCGTAGGAGGGCTTAGGACATTGTGAATAAAGAAACAACGAGGTCCAAACATACACATTGAGCAGCATGAAAACACAAATTCAAAATATTCACATCCATATCTACACATATATAAAAAAATAATACTTATAAAACATTTAAAACTAAGCTAATGATAGCAATAATGACAAGCTCTTTTTTTTTCTTTGCTTAAATGTGTTAAATTGTTTCTTTATTGATCTGAAACTATGCTTTTTATTTCCTCTAGATGCTTTATGTGGACACCCCCCCCCAATTGTATTTAAAAATAACAACTTTGTATGACATTCAGATACAAACACCTTTCTGAATGAAGTTATTGCAATCTTAATCAAGTATTTCTTATACTATTCCCTATGGACACAGGTACATGTTTTTAAATAGTTTTTTTTTCCCTTCAAATTAAATCAAAATTTCAGGTGCATAGTCTGTTTGCATTTGTGTAAGATAGGATTTATTTTATAGGAAGCCTGCTGACTGCTATTATATATGCTGTCTTTCTCTGCTATCATTTCTGAAAGTCTGTATTAAAACTAGAATAGCATTAAATGAGCCTTTTATACGTTAAATATTCAAGAGTTTTATATTCAAAATTTCTTCTGGTGCTGTCAAACTAGTGTGCCTGTAGGCAAGGTAAGATCAAGTTAGGCTCTCAAAGGTAGAATTAAATTTTATCAGGGCATCCGTCATAATATACAGTTTGCTTAAAATGCAAATAAAAAGTATATAGATTCAAAGACTAAAGTCTTTTCAGGTACTGCTTAAAAATCCAAGGGACCACTTTTATGGAACGGATTTCCTTTAAATTTACATTTCCATCATTTTAATGAAAACATAGAATAAACAAATTATAATGGACGTGCTTTAAATTCTCATTTTTCACTTTGAATGTATATCTTCCAAGAAATTCCTTATTGCAGCTCTTGTTTTTAAGGAGAATAAAAAAGATGCAGAAACACATTTAGGAAACCATTACCTCAGCCATTTTTGAAAGTTCAGTCCAGTCCTCCCTGCTATAGCTGCACATGATACTGGCAATCAGAATCTGAAAAGAATATATATGCAATCATTTTAAGCCATGTTACGGATTTTGTAATATAGTTCTTTGCTGTGACTCCAGACGTTAACTACCGCTACCTGCATATGGGAACCACCAGCTGTACACTACTAGCATGGGTAGTGAAATGCAGCTGTGTATTTCACTGGGGATGAGAAATAGTAAACAGAGTCATCTATTTCATCCCTGTTTTTTAAGTCATTACAGAAAATGAGCAGGTCTAGTCAAACACATAGAGTACTTTGCATTCTCTTCATCACACCGTAAAGTGAGAACAAAGACACCGAGCCCACCAGGCAAACTGTCAAACATACTTGTTTCTGAGGTCAGAGGAACGAAGTTATTTACTATTTATACAACACCAGAAGTACTTGGGGCTCTTTAGAGGTAGGTAGGACTTAAGTGCAAGAGTTTAGAGCCTAACGCGGCAGTGTACAAACACAACATCCAGCTGAATTCAGGAAGCCAAGATACACCAAAACCAGCCCCCAGGAATTTCATACTATGCAAGTTAAGGACAGTGACAGGCAGCTGGGACTCTTTTGTGCAGAGGCAACTGCGGGGAGACTGGCAGACTGGGAGAGCGGCACGGAGAAATTCCAGCTTTTGTTTTCCCACGATACACATTCTGTTTCCTATTCACTGGCTGTGGCCCCAGTTCCCCAAGAGCTGTTTCTGTGTGTTGCCTTGCCTCCTCCCTGCACCGAGCACCTTTCAGACCCAGGTTCTTCCTGTAGTTGCTGCTGCTGCCTCTAACACCTTTACTGAGGTTCAAGTTTATAGGTAAAATAAGTTCTTATAGGATTCTTGTGGGAGGGCAGCTAGACGCACGCACACCTTTCCAGTTGCATACGGTGCTATTTACTGTTAAATGAATGTTAACTACTCCTCTGGTCAATGTCCAGTTTAAGTAACAACGTTAATTTCTGTTTAAGACTAAAACACAATTACTTGTTCTGGACCCATCAAAGATCGTCACACACAGAAACTCTGAAGTTGATACATTCGTGGTGAGACCAGCAAAGAAGTTCAGCCCAGAAACTCCTGCATGGAGAACCTCCTAGAAGGATAAGGTTTGCAAGAAAAAAGCAACAGAGATCTATACTGCCATAGTTAAAAGGTTAAACTGGAAAAAGAAATCGCAGAACTTAGGAGCACACTGCCGGCTCGATCTGTGTTCAAAGGGGACACCAGGAGAGGAGAGCAGAAAAACATCTGGCCACACTCTTGTTTATTTGGCCCTCTTAAGTTAAACGTATGAAAGTTTCACATGTAAGTTTGATTCACAGGTAAGATGAAATTTGGTTTTAATCTTTTTTGCTTTCCGAACAAGTTTTACTGTCAGCATTAATAAGTAGGAGGCGCTTAATCTGTCGTCCTAGTCAGTATAACACTTCTCTTGAACTTCCCCTTAATGCTGAGGGTTAATGACTCATTCATATAAGGGAAAATACTGAAAAGTATGGTGTAGAAAAATTGTCCAATACACACAATTGTCGGAAACTGTAAATTCCGAAATTATCTCCGTAAGAAGGATGAGCTATTTAGTATCTTTAGAAGGGATGGAAACACACTTTAAAAAGGAAGGCAGCTATGGAGAAAATTAGACATGATGAGGTTACAATCTATTCATTTAAAAGGACAATACCACTTATCATCATCATTATTTCCATTATTTCCATTGTTTTGCTCTGATGAATCTCTACCTATCAATCTACCACCCACCTACCTGCAGACTACCTACCCATCCACCCTTCCAGCTGATGTTTGCAAGATGGGAGTCTTTAGACAAGGAAGGCATTTGATGAAGTGCCTGCCTTGCCTGCAGGTGCCCATTTGTGTGCACCTCTGGCAGAAATGTAAGACCAAGCTTTTCATTAAACGCACACGATCATTACCGGCCATGCTTTTATTTTCCTCTTGACAGAGGAAAAAATGCTCTCTCCTATACCATCCTTTTTTCTATTGTGGAAAACCTTATATAGCTCTATAGGTCAAATGTTTATGAAACAAAATTTGCTCTATGTGCTAGCTGAATATTCAAGATAATATGAGTACTCTGGAAATAAACATAAATCTCTTTAAAAAGACTGTAATATTTTTAAAAAGACAAATTATGAAAAGTCAGTTTGAGAAAGTATCTATGAGAAAAATTTACAGTAAGAAAGTAAGTTTAAATATGCACTAACTGCAAGTGAGCTAGAAATCATATCTTGTCAAATTCACACTTTTTATAAGCTAACTAAAGCAAAAAAAAAAAAAACCTAACCAACTCAGACACTGACAACATGATAAGGATTTTCGCAGTTGCAGTCACAATCCAAAGTATATCAGAAATCTACACAATTCAGCTTTAAAACAAATCAAATTTTCCAGCAGGGAAAGTTGTAAGACGACAAGGGCGGCCAACTATATTCACAAGTAGCTGAGTTAGGTTATGTCAAGTGTTATTAATGACATTTGAAAATTCTGCTGGGAGTGTACAAAAGAGGAGGAACAAGATCTGTGATGTTTCAAAGAGCTGTTAATTAAGACAACATGTTTATTTAATATTGATTAGTTTTAGCATTCACATTTAAAATTAAGTACATACTTTTTACAGAAGCAGTGGTTTACAATAACGAAAATAACTGAAAGCAAAAATTACATTTCTGCTGTGACTGTTCACACGAAAACCATGATCTCAGAGGGAATAACGAAAATTTAAAAATAGTAGGGATTTTATTCTTCTTTTTTCCCCAGTGTTCCCTTACAACTTGAAATTAAACTTAATTCCTAGGTGGAAACAGATCCTCCAGCATTCCATGTTAACAAAACCATCCTTCCTCAAGTGACTATTCTTTCCCAAAACGCCTCTACAGTCTTTTCATTTGGAATCAGTACTCACGACAAAAAAATAATAAGTATTGTATGTGGACGTTTACAGGCACTATTTGTGATGCTTGAGGTTTAAATCTACTCCTAAAATCGCACATGGGAATTTATAAAGAAAACATAGAATACTATCTCCTATTACCTAGAAAGAGAATACCAAGAAAATAGTAAGAATAACAAGTAATAAAACCCAGAGTTTTTATTGGAAAGTAATAAACAGAAACTGAATCACGTTTCAGCCTCTCAGCCTCTTCTCACTATTTTATTTTTTCTTCACATCTTTGATGTCTGCAATGCCATATACCACATTACCACCCCTGCAACTTTGATAGCCCCAAACAGTTGGCAGCTCATAAAAGTCCAGCGCATGGCCCAGCCCAGGAGCATCCCCAGAGTGCACAACCTTCCTCTTGACTCCTGAAATTTGCAGTGGCAACCTGACATGAGTTTAATTAGAGCTGTTTGAACCACAAGTGCGAGGCCACACCACGCTTGCCCGGCTCACAAAAGTAGACTCCTGACAGATCTTACAATAAAGCTGCTGCTAAAGTGCAGTAAGTGGTAAATGAAGGTTGACTAAATTGCAGCTTTGTCGTAGCTTGAGTGAGGGCTGCCGGCGAAACTGTGCATGACTGAAGCACAGTGGGACCCCCAGCCCATTCCTTATTCCCCATCAGAAGCACAGCTGGCATATGCTGTTCCCTCTTCTTTATCCAAACCGTTATTTTGCCCATTGTCGAGAGATCCTGCCTACTCCACCCTGTGCAGCGGCTCTGCAGACCCTGCTCCCTCCCCGATGATCACCGTGACGGATGTCACTAGACCAGGTCTTGACGCCCCGACATTACACAAAGTGATAGACAATTTCTCCAAATGCTTGTAAAGGGACAAACGTGTTTGTAACATCGGATGCTGTTCTGTGTACAGGGTTATCTTATATCGTTCACAGAAGACACAGAAGAAGAAGGTCTAGAATAAAACTTTTTTTTTTTTTTTTTTTTTTTTTTGTTGGAGGGAGGGGAAATGGAAAAGGGAGGGTAAATAATGTACCATTTAGGACATGATTATAAGATGAATATACTGTAGCTAAAGCACCTAGTCAAAAGCTATATTTCACACAATTCTGTAACTAATGCATTAGCAGTTGTTCTACTTAAAAGGACACTGACAAGGTACTTGTCATAATCCTTAAAATATTTTTTTCTCCCTGTTTATAATAATCCCCTGGAAGCTTAAACTAGAATCTATTTCCCTTGTGAATGTTTTTTTCTCTTCCATTATCTGTATGTGGATGTCTCATGAATGCAATAGCATTAAAAGAAATAAAAAGGAAGAGGTTTGCCACTGTGTATGTTTTTAAGTGATCTTTCTTCCCTAACACACGGAATTCACTGCAAGAGGTTGCAACAAAAAAGGAAGGAGAAAAAAAAAACAACTGGGCCTACTTTGGGTCAGACAATCCTGAGAACATCTATTTAAAGCCAGAAGGCAGTAAAACTCTAGGTAGACAATTACCATTTGTCCTGTACTGCTCTGCAGGGAATAAGGGAGTTTCAGTACACTCAAAGAGTCTGAAAAAATCTCAGGGGGCTGGATTTAAATGTGAACACTGTCAATTCCTGCAAATTTAAGAAAACTTCCCAACAGACGCAATGAAATCACAATCCTCTACCCTCATGCCTGTAATAACTGTATTTATTTTAGCCATATAACAGAGGCCATAGCCTCTATCTGTTCCTAACCTGTTCTGCCAGGTCTGTGCATAATCTCCCTGCACTTCAGGAAATTCAGCCACCCATATAATTTCTGCTTTCTCTTCCCTGCCTGTCCCTTCTTATTGCTGCACCAGGCTTGAGGACAGTTCTGCACCAAGTGTTCACAGATGCTCCACTTAGACGCTGCTGCTGGCTTCAACCGGCACCCCCTTCTGCTTTCTCAGACACTTGCAAAAGTCCCTAGAATTTTATTTGTGATGTGCACAGCCCTTGCAGAAATAGAAAGAAATCCTTAACATCATCTTTAAGAGACCGTTCCCCTCAAAGCTGTAAAATCAAGAGGAGCTTTCAAGAAGGCTGAAGGACTCGTTTTGTAACAGCTACCTGCTTGGGAAGCAG